TGAAATTAACACAACATTGTAAATCAAATATACTTCAAAAAAAAGAGATAAATTTCTCCATTAAGTATGACATTTATGATTGGGTCTTAATAGATACACATTATCATGGAGGGTTCTAGGACCAAAGCAGGAAAGAAATCCAGAGCATCCTATCTGGGTTAGATATTTTGCTCTAGAAAGCACAGGGGGAAAAAATGTGCCATAGCAAAACAAGATGCTGAGCAAGCTGAACTGGATGGAGCCCTTGCTGGGCTAGGTTGATGAAGAGCCTCTGGCTTTGGCTGTAAGATAGTCCCATGCTTTCTGCTGCTAATGAAGCCTATTCAGGAGGAAGAAGAGGAGGTTTCTGTCCAAAGAAAGAGGAATGGGTACAGATCATAAAAGTCTATGCCCTGACCTTAGCAGCCAGTTCAGACCATGATTTTGCAAATGAGAATTATTCACATGAGAATTTCCACCACTCCTAAGACTGGAAGGAAGCTCCCCAACCCAGAAGGAGGCACAAACCCTAAGAGCTTACAGACCTCAAAATGTCAATCCTCTGTTCTACAGTCATTGTCTGGAGGATTGCTCATACCAGGAAAAAAAAAAAAAAACACAGGAATTCAGACCCAAGGCAGGGTGAGCTCCTGGGCAGAAGAAAGAGGCCCAAGAGAGAAGTTCATTCTGGCACCTGGGGCCCTGCTCTTCACCCCTGGATGGCAGAGACCCTGCAGGGGGTCCTCACCCTTCTGGTCTTCAAAGAGACCAGAAAGGCCAGCAGAGGAAGGGCGGACCCTCTGCACTCACAGGATGGAAATCAGCTAGAAGAAAGTGCTTTCATGTCTGAACCAGGGTTTCTCACCTGGAGACAACCACGGATCAAATCCTAGCTCTGACATTTGCCAGATTAATAATTTTGTCAAGTTTCTTAACTTCTCGGAATCTCCTCATATGCAAAATGTAAATAATAATTACGTGTCTTATAAGGTTGTTACAGGATAAGCTATCACAAAGTCTAGTGCTTAAAAGCAAAATTATCAACAAATATAGTGGGCCCATGTCAAAATTCTTGTTTGAATTCTTTAATGAGAGAATCAGCAAAGAAGGTTTTTAAAGCTGGTTTGAAGAATAATTGAGAATACATAAAGACATTCAGGAAAGGAATTCCTAAGTAAGATTCTTAATTTAAATATGACTCTTTTAACTTTCAATAGGGTGATAAAAATTAAAACAGGGGTTTAACATCTCTACCAGACTATAAAATCATATTACCCCATCAAGCAGATGCAAACTGCCTACTTCTTTATCCACCATGACTTGTTAATCAAATATACTGTGCCGACCATGTTACATTCCCCACGAGTGCCAGATGATAGAAGGTTAACAAGTAGCAAGGACTTGCTTCTATTCAGGCAGACTCTAGCATGAGATCAAAGATTTAAGCAATCACCAGTTTGTCTTTCTCTAGGTTTGAGATGATTTTTTTCCTTTCATACCAACAACTAGAAGGAGCCCAGTAAGTGTTAGCAGCTTTCCATCCCCTCCTCAGCCCATATGAAATTAGGGTGAATTCCCTAGGTCAGGAGGCCAGAAGATAGGCTGGTATCTGGACCCAACCGGAATCATTCTGGCTCCCAAGTGGAAGGATGTACGGGGAAGTCTTTTCCACTGGAATAAGCTCTGTGTTCAGCTGCTAGACGCCAGTTGCCCAATTCCAGATACTCCCCATGCTCTTTAAGACTTTTGTCACAATCGTGAGACACCTGGCTGAAGTCAGGAGTCTTGGGTGGAGAAGTGGGATTTCAGACAGGTCATACTCTAAGGCCCCAGAAGTCTCAGTGGCCAGATCTGCCTCAGTTGGTGAGCCAACATCTCCTTTGTGGGCTCAAACATTGCATGAGGCTTCCTGCTACACCACTTATTTCTCAACTTCCCGCCACCTTGTTCTTCTTTTGTAGCTGGGGAAACAGGAAACCAAATCATCTTGCTCTGTGCTACAAGCCCGTCTGACTCTGCCCAGTAGGTCCTGTAATGGCACAGCCTTGCTTGTAAATTACCATCTGCAAGCCTGCCTACTCCATGGACCTTCCAAAGATGGCCTCCCTCACCTCCACTTCATTCTCCAGGTGGCCAGTGCCAGCTGGGGCACCTCCCATGTCCAACCATGAGCCTGGGTATCAACCATTTGATAGCTCCAGGTCAATGCAATTCTTCACAACCAGTGGCCCATCAATTATGGTGAAACTCCAAAGGGCACTCTGGGCTACTTTCTGCATGGTCCTCTGAGAGGACTCAGAGAAAGCAGACTCACTGGACTTTCAACTAATGGCAAACAGTTAATAATGGTAAATCTCCCCCAAAGGATCCATTAACAGCAAGTCTAACAACGCATTTTCAAGGAGAGAGAAAGGCACTGGGATATGTTGCTCCTCACCCACACTCAGATACACATACACACACACACACACACACACACACCACCACCACCACCACCACCACCACCACCAATGTGGATAACTGAGAGGCAGAATCAGGTTGCTCTCTCCTTTTGTGCATTCACCCATTATATTCCCTAAATATTGAGTGAAGCCTGGGATACTGTTTGATGAACCCTGCCAACCCTTCCCGTCTTTCTTTTGCCTGGGCCACATTTGGGCCAGCAGCTCAACTTTAAAGGTGCTTCTGAGAACTGCATGAGAGTTTCCTCAATGCAGAGAGTGTGTTCACACTCCTGAATTAGGTGGAAGCACTTGCTTGGGGGAATAGATAAAGTGATCCTTCAGGAAAGCTGAAAAGGAAGTAATTTTGTCCCTAGCCTTCCCACGCTTGCCCAGAAGGAGCCCATCTCCATATCTGATGACTAGACCCTCCCCCATACCATTTTAAGTCCCAATCTTAGTTCTCTGCTGGCTGCCAAACATTTTCACTAATATGTTAGCTGATAATAAAACTGGTTGGTAATTAAAGCCTTGGTCAGTGAATAAGGGTTTAAGCTGTTACCTTTCCCTGTTCATTTGCATTTCTATATAAGTAAAGTCTACTACAAAGGAAAAGCCCTGTGATCTGGGGTGAGTAATCTTCAGCATTGGGATCCAGTTCACCTGAGTGGCATTTTGTTGGGTGGGGGAGGGACTTGCTCCTCCTGAAATGGAATTCAGGAGGAATTGGCCACCTCCTCTTCTCCTCTTGGGCACGAAGCACTTCTGCCTTCTCCAAAGATGCCCTCCTTCCCCCACCCCCACCCATCAGGGTCAGGTTCCTCTTCAGCCCAGGCTCCTGGGGTCAGAGGCATACAATCATCCCAGAGAGGGTTGAAGGACCACTACTGTTTATGCAGAGGCTCAGTGCCTCATGCATACAGTGGGACCCCAAGCTAGCTTCCATCTCTGGGACATAGTGCACCCCCAGCTTCACAGAGCAGGAGCATTGTGAAGGGGTAGGGGCAGCAACAGAGAAACTGTTTTAGGCCTTGGCAGCACACGTCCCCACCAAGTCCAGCCACACACAAAACAACAGTAGAAATACTCCACCTTCCATTACTAAAATCCAGCAGCCATGACAAGTGTTCTTAACCTTTTAGGGGCCTTTGGACCCTTTTTTAATAGTGAAAGAGGGGCTTCCTTGGTGGCGCAGTGGTTAAGAATCTGCCTACCAATGCAGGGGACACGGGTTCGAGCCCTGATCTGGGAAGATCCCACATGCAGCAGAGCAACTAAGCCCGTGCACTACAACTACTGAGCCTGCGCTCTAGAGCCCGCAAGCCACAACTACTGAGCCCACGTGCCACAACTACTGAAGCCCACTCGCCTAGAGCCCGTGCTCTGCAACAAGAGAAGCCACGACAAAGAGAAACCTGCGCACCACAACAAAGAGTAGTCCCCTTCACCACAACTAGAGAAAGCCCGCGCCCAGCAACGAAGACCCAATGCAGCCATAAATAAATAAATATTTAAATATTTTTTAAAAATAGTGAAAGACTCAGAGGAATGAGTTTATACATATATACTCAAAATGATGCATTCAACTTTGATTCCATTCCAGAGATATACCGTAGACCAAGTTAAAACCCCTGGTGTAGAGATTCTGGTGACAGCTCCCAACCCCTTTCCCCATTACTAACACCACCGCCCCATCACCTAAGTGGGGGCAACAGAAAATGTCCCAAGGCACAGCATGGAAACTCAACTTGGGAGTTGGGTTCTGGTGAGAGGTGCCCATTCATCTTCTGGCCCTCCCATTTCCCCAGACCCTTGGAAATCCAGAGCAATGATGGAGAGATTATTTTAGATAAGTCACTGATTACCAAAGCATTCAACCCAAAGGGAAGCATTTGAGTACCCTATTCTTTGAGTTGATCTTTACTGATGTATTAGCCTATCTGCCCATTCCTCTATTATTTAATCAAGTTAGGAGGTTGGGAATGGAGAGAGAAGGAAAGCTTCCAAAATCTCTTAAGGAGAAATTACAAGTGTAGAGACAGGGGGCTTATTAGTGTTACTTCATTAGAACTCTAAGCATCCACCTAAAGTCACACCACACATAGAATCAACCTCTCTCTTTCTCTCATATACACACAGACACACTTCTACATAGTTATCTCCCTGATTTCCTAAAAGTTACATCTAAGATAATTAGCTGGAAATTACAACTTAGAGAACACTATGAGCTTTCCTTACGTCACCCTGTTCTCATATCACCCATTTGGGAACAAGTAGGAAAATCAACAGCTATAGTGTGTTGGACTCTGTAGAATCCTTAAGTCAATGGAACCCATGACTCAGGACCGTGGGGCTGGAAGAGCCTTGGGAATCATTTAGGGAGAACACGGGGAAGAAAGCAGACAAGCAGTAAGCACCCAGGGCTCGTGAGAGATGGTGAGTGGAGGCAACAGAGGTTTGTTTTTCTTCCTTGGGTTTTCCAACCCTCCCTCCAATCCCCAGGAGCCTCATTCCACAAGAGAAAAGCAAGAAACCAAGAGAGGCCTGAGGTATCAATTACTTTATTACTCTGAGGGGACAAGTCCAGGGGACCAGACCCAGGGCTCTATAGCTCTGCTATTCTTTGTGAATGTCTTCATGGGCTGCCAGGCCCACCTTTATTACCAGTGAGAGGAACTCCTGGAAGTTAAGTGCACCATCCTCATTGATGTCCAACTCTTTGAACCAGGTGCCTACATCCTTTTTCTGTGAAGATTGGAGAGAAAGAAGCCAGAGTGTAAAGATCTCAGGGAAGCTGAGGCATGGCTGTCTGCACAGGGCAACGCCAGGGACCAGTGACCCGGGGCGTCATCAGAGCTGGGCAGAGAACCCCGACCACACCCAGCCCCTCCTCACCGTCATAAACTTAGGACACTCCGTCTCTAACAATTTCTTCAAGTCATCCCTATAGATGGCATGGTAATTCCCTTTCTCCAGGGAGTACTTGTGGTAGACCTCAATGAGGGAGTTCATGGCAGTCTCCAGGTCCGTCAGCATGGTGCCCAAGGATTTGCCCTACCTGGAAGACAGAGCACACAGGCAACCCCGACATGGGGAAGGTGCCTAGGGGGACACTCTGAAGGCTCATACTCCAAGGGATGGCTCTGTCTTGGATGGCACCATCCAGATAACTAAACCCAGCATAGGGCTATGGCTATGATGGGAAGTGGGGGACGATGTGGATGAGAGTGTGGAAGGAAGCAGGGTATATACACACACACTCAGTTACTGCCAGCTCTCCCCATGCCCCCAGCCACCTCCCGGGAAGGGCCCAGCTTGGGAATCAAACGTGCCCTCACCCAAAAATACTAGAGCACTTGGCTCCTTCTTCAGCCCTGGCTCACGCTTCTCTTCCGGGAGCCCTGGACTCAGTCCAGACCTCCCTGAGCTTTCTCTCCCCTCCTCAGAGAAGTCTGCTGCACTCCTCAGCCCTCCCCAGGAGAAGCCCAAAGTGTGGGACAGACTGGGGCAGTTCCACTTACCAGGTCTTCCCAAAACAGAGTTGACAAAAGATATGCAGGGCTGAGTGTTGGCTCCCTTTTATAGCAACGAGGCTTGGCCAGCTGCCCAGGGCCTCAGGCCACTCATAGGCAGCTGCTCCCTTCGAGGATTGCTACAGCCTCTGGTTTCCCAACAAGGTGAATGGGGCAATCACTGCACAGAATGAAAAGTTCTGATGCGGAGCTTGGAGCGGTGTGGGGGGAGCACAGGAAAGGTAGAAGGAGGAAGGCTTTTGCCAGGCAGGGATGCCCAGCAGGAGAAATCAGGAAGACGGCATGGTGAGGACTCCTCTTGTAAGCTGCTAGCAACCCCTGGCTTGGTCAACCAGAATGCCCACTTCTGAGTCCTTCCCACGGTTGCTAATGGCCAGTCTGTGCATCTCTGAAATGGAATTGAAGTTGAGTGCATCATTTTGAGTGCATGAGTATAAGCTCATTCCTCCATAGCTTTCATCACATTCTCAAAAGGGTCCAAAGGCCCCTAAAAGGTTAAGAACACTTGTCATGGCTGCTGGATTTTAGTAATGAAAGGTGGAGTATTTCTACTGTTGTCCTGAGTGTGGCCAGACTTGGTGGGGATGTGTGCTGCTAAGGCCTAAATCAGTTTCTCTGCTGCTGCCCCTACCCCTTCACAATGCTCCTGCTCTGTGAAGCTGGGGGTGCACTATGCCCCAGGAGATGGATGCTGGCTTGGGGTCCCACTGTATGCATGAGGCACTGAGCCTCTGCATAAACAGCAGGGACCCTTCAACCCTCTCTGGGATGATTGTGTGCCTCTGACCCAAGGAGCCTGGGCTGAAGAGGAACCAGACCATGAGGGGTGGGGGTGGGAGGAGGGCATCTTTGGAGAAGGCAGAAGTGCTTCATGCCCAGGAGGAGAAGAGGAGGTGGCCAATTCCCCCCGGATTTCAGGAGGACCAAGTCCCTCTCCCACCCAACAAAATGCCACTCAGATGAACTGGTTTCCAACACTGAAGATTTGTGGTGCATTTCTCTTGCTACAAAGCCCTTCAGACTCACATAACCTATTAATATACTCAGAACATGCCTATCAGGAAGGCGGGGCAGAGCCCACTCAGTCTACACACACAGAAGTCAAGCCCCCAGGAAGGTGAAGTGGTTCCTCGAGAGTTTCCCAGTGCAGATGTGTCAAAGCCCAGACCGGATCCCAGAGCATCAGGCTCCCAGAGTGTGATCTGACAAGAACATGACTCTGCTGAGAAAACTTCTCCCCTCTCTCCTTCCTTCATGCATTCAACAAATATTTACCCTGTGCTCCCCCAAGGCCTAGGCCATCACCACCTCCTAGGGGAAGTAGATAGGATTAGCCTCTCTCTCCATGTTTCTACAGCCCTTTGGGCTCCATTTTGTCATTAACTTTATAGCTGTGTGACCTAGGGCTAATTACTTACCCTCTCTGTGCTTTAGTTACACCAATTATTAAGTAGAGATTTAAAATAGAGTCTACCCTTAGCCTACAGAATAGGAGAGAATATTTGCAAATCATATATCTGAGAAGGGATTAATATCCAGAATACAGAAAGCCTACAACTCAACTCCAAAAAAAACAAACAACCCAACTGAAAACTGGGCAAATGTCTTGAATAGACATTTCTCCATAGGAGGCATACAAATGACTCATAATCACAGGAAAAGATGCTCCACCTCACTAATCATTAGGGAAGGCAAATCAAAACCACAATGAGATACCACCTCACAGCCATTAGAATGTCTGCTGTCAACAAAGACAGAAAATAACAAGTGTTGAAAAGGATGTGGAGAAATTGGAATCCTTGTGTACTGCTGGTGGGAATGTAAAATAGTGCAATCACTGTGGAAAAAAGTATGGTGGTTCCTCAGAAAATTAAAAACAGAATTACCATATGATCCAGCAATTCCACTTCTGGGTATATACCCAAAATAATTGAAAGCAGTCTCAAAAAGATATTTGTACACCCATGTTCACAGAAGCATTATTCACAATAGCCAAAATGTGGAAGCAACCCAAGTGTCCATCCACAGATGAATGGATAAATAAGTGTGGTATATACATGCAATGGAATATTATTCAGCCTTTAAAAAGGAAATAAATCCTGACACATGATACAGCATAGGTGAATCTTGAGGACATTATGCTAAGTGAAATAAGACAGACACAAAAAGACAAATACTGTATAATTCCACTTATATGAGGTACCTGGAGTAGTCAAACTCAGAGACAGAAAGTAGAATGGTGATTGCCAGGGTCTAGGAGGAGGGGGAGGGCGGGAGTTATTGTTTATTGGGTGCAGAGTTTCAGTTGCGAGATGATGAGAGTTCTGGAGATTGGATGCACAACGTGAATACACTTAACACAACTGAACTGGACACTTAGAAATGGTTACAATGGTAAATTTTATGTTATTTGTATATTATCACAATTTAAAATATTTTAAAATTCGAAATGCTTCCACCTAAAAAAAAATAAAATCTACCTGATAGTGTTGTTGTGAGGATTAATAATAGATGAAAAATATTTATGATTTGTGGGCTTTTATTAATTTGCATTATATTTTAATTAAAGTTTACACACACAAAAAAAAAATGTGTGAAGTGCTTAAAGCAGCGCATAGTAAGCAAGCACTGTGTGAGTGTACAGCGTGATTACTGCTCTGTAAATGTGTCTGATTCCCCAGCTGGGCTGTGAACCTTCGAGGACCCAGACTGGCTCATCCACCTCTGCCTCCCTGGGAGCCAGCACAGTGCCTGGCATATACTATAACAGCAACAACAATCAATAAGAACAAACAATAGTAAAATAATAGCTAGTATTTACTGGGTTCTTACCATACACCAGGAATCATTGCAAGTGCTTTACTTACATCAGACCATTTAATCCTCACAGTAATCCTGTGAGTTATGTTCTATCATAATTCCCACTTTACAGAAGAGGAAGCTGAGGCCCACAGAGATACAACATTTGGTGCATCAAAGGACTTAGGCGGCTTACGACCCGCTGTGACAGCATCTACTTTCTGCACCTGCCTAGAATGCCTCTTTGCCATTAAAGTCGTCCTCATCCTTCCTGCCCCAGCCCAGGCACCATCTGCTCTCGTCCATCTCTGACTCTCCTTCCCCCACCCTTATCAACACGGAGTTAATTCTTCTCTCCTCCATATGGTACCAAACCCTTCTGCATCACAGCATTTGCCCTGCTGTATTAGGGTTCATCTGTTTATTGCCTGCCTTTTCTTTAGGTCTGGGAGCCTCTTTAGAGCAGAAACCACATCACATCCCGGGGCCTGGTGCATACTAGGGGCTCAGTTAATACTTACTGAGGGGATAAGTGAATGCAAAATTGAACAATTGATCTAGCCCTTACCCAATGCAAAAAGTCCCTTTGTCATACCCAGCCACTTTAAGTGGTTTTTGGAACAAGACAGGATATAGATCCATCAACCAAATGCAGTCTACCTTCCTTGGCTAGTCAACCTCTTGACAGGAAAATAAGGCTGTTTCCGACATCTAATGTGACAAGTTTTCAGCCAATGATCAAGCACTTGGTGCATACCTATTATTTGCCAGGCCCCTTCTATATGACCTGGCACAATACCATCTTACCCCAAATAGCGCATCATATTTTCAAAGTGTTTTTACATCCACGAACTCTTTTGATAATCCTGTGAAATGGACATCACAGGTACAGTTATCCTTATGTGACAGATGAGAAAACTGAGGCACGGGGAGTCACCTAAGGTCCTCTGGGCATGCATTCTGCTTTGTGTTGGTGCTTAGGTGCCAAAAAGCACACTATAGAACAACAGGGTCGCTTTTTCTGAGATTCTCTTTCGGGTTTGTTCACTAGCCCAGCATGCAGCTCACACTGACCTCTTTCAAGGGGGTTGATGGTGAGGTTGATGAAGATGATGTTTTTCCAAGACCCCGGACCACTTGGGAGATGCCTGCCTTGAAGCCACTCCCCTGAGAATGTCCCTGTGGAGAGAGCTTTCTTCATCCAGAAAGGAAGGAAAACAAAGCCCCAGGTCCAGCAAGGGAGACATGAGCCATGACCCCCTCCAGCCTCATGTGCTTGTCCATGGAGCCTGCTGACCAGCGAGGCCATGAAATGCTGCCCCCAGAGATGTTCCCCCTGGACAGGCAGCCTTGGGGGCCTCGAGGAGAGCAGGACCAGGCTGAGCTGACCCGGCAGGAGAGGGTGTCAGGAATTGGGTAAGCACATGGGGGAAAAGGCAGCTCCTGTAATCAGACTGACAGACATGGGGCAACCACGGGGAGCGGAACCTAGTCCTGTTTACAAGAAACAGCTCAGTCCCAGCTGCATGTCCCAATACCAGGCTCTTGCCCGCAGCTAAGGAAATGTGGAGAGAGCCCGCAGGGTCGGTGGAGAAACCCCCCGGGGAGGGGCAGGAGGAATGGGCTGAGCCGCCCCTTCATACTCAAAGCCTATAGAACACAACACATTTCAGGTGAGACAGGCAGGGAAGACCCACCTGGGCCTGGGGCAAGGCTGTCCT